CGTATTCAGTATTCAAGCGAATCATTTTATCAGTGGCAAACCAGCTGTGGGATAGAAATATGGTACTAAGCTTGAAATGTCTACCTCGAGTGAAGTAATGGCTAAACACATTCTTCTGGAGCCCCTTATCATTGCTATAGTCGTCGATGATGACAAGCTCTGGTTTATCACCCGGAGTACGTCTGATAGCATCTACCTGAGGCGGATGCTCGTGGAAAGTGATGAACCCCTCAAGCTTATCGCGGAGATAGTCGTACAGCTCTTGATGCGGATTGCGTGCGATGATGTGGAGATGGGCAAATACGTGGGGAGAATACTTGAGAATATGAAAAACGAGGTTGTTCTTGCCGGAGAAGCTTGGTCCTAATATAACCATTCTAAACAGCTTCTTGATACCTAATTCTTGTATTGTTCCGACTGAATCAGCCCGATACTTCTTTGGCAATGATCCGCCATAATCAGGAACAAGCAAGCCTGGAGACTTTGTCTCTTGGCTGGCGCCACTCGACTTCAGTCTAATAGCGCTCATGACGAAATATAGCTTGACTTATATAACTTTGATGAAAATATGTCTGGATTTATCTATCCACCACCGACGTTCATTTCTTCATGCTACAACCCGGCATTCTACCTCTCACTCGATCAGACAGGATACTTGACGTATGCGTATGCCCAAACATTATATCTAAGTATCAATGACTATCGTTTGTCATACATCACTGGCATCACCCCTGGTACTGCTACACCAGGTATAGCTCTTGTCGTAGCTTCTGATGGATCTCTTAGCGGATTAGGAGCATTAAGTTGCTCATCACTGACTGTTGGCGGTTCTGCTATATCACCAACCCCCACCTATGTTCTTGGAATCACTGGCGGTACGGCTGCAGCAAGTAAAGCGTTGGTACTAGATTCATCGAGCAATATCAGTGGTATTAATGCGCTAAGTGCTACAAGTCTAACTGGAACACTTCAGACAGCCTCTCAACCTAATATCACATCAGTTGCAAATCTAAATATCACGGCTCATGATGGGGTATCTCATGGACTTTCACTTGGTGGAACGCTAATCACTGCATCAGCATCTGAAATCAATTATGTTGATGTTGCTGCAGGCACTGCCTCAGCAAGCAAAGCGCTGGTATTAGATGCATCTAAAAATATTACTAGTATTAATTCACTAAGTGCTACGAACTTGACAGGTACTCTACAAACTGCTTCTCAGCCTAATATTACGAGTCTTGGTACATTAACTTCACTTAGTGTTTCTGGTACTATTACTATATCAGGAACAGCTCTAACCTCGTCTGCTAATCAGCTTAACTATACTGGAATTAGTACAGCCGGTGTTGCGCAATCGTCTAAATGTCTTGTGCTTGATTCAAATTCTCAAGTTAGAGGGGTTGATACTATCGAATACAATCAAGCTTCAAGCCCAACTAAATCATCTATGATGAGTTCATATGCTTGCTTATTGCGTAGAAATCTTGATGCATCTGGAGCCGCTACTGGAATAGGTCTAGCAGCAACAACCAATTCATATGGCTCGAGTACTCCTGGGAGCTCTATTATCTTCACTAATAATTCAGGAGCTGGCAATAACGGGCTTGGATATTTAACGATAAACCATCGAATTACGAGTGCTGGAGCTGCCACAGCATTAGCAGAGATCATTCGGATCGATTCAAGCGGCAATATCGGTATCAACCAATCAAGTCCATCCACTAATCTCGATGTACTGGGAAGTGTAAATATTTCTAGTACATTGACAGTATCTCAAATTAGCTATTCTGGAACACAGATAATCAGTCCAACTACCTTGAATCTTAACCCTACAACTCTACAGATAGCAGGTAGTATTGTATCTGCTAGTGCCTCTCAGCTGAATTATTGTGCAATTACTACAGCAGGATCGGCTCAGGCCTCTAAAGCTCTCGTGCTTGATTCAGCTAGTACTATTCGTGGAATTGCAATAGCGGAGTTAAATGAACCATCATCAGTAAATGCTGGAAGTGTTATGGGGAGTTACTCATTACTCCTTAGACGTAATCTTGATACAGTGAATGCATCAACTGGAATTTGCTTTGCTTCTACTCAAAATGCTATATTAAGTTCAACAGGAGGTTCTAGTATTATTTTCACAAATACAGGAGGCTCTGGAGGTAATAGTCTTGGTTATCTAACGATCAACCATCGAATATCAACTGGTACAGCTACAACTGCATTAACTGAGATTTTACGCATCTCTCCATCTGGACAGATTGGAATAAATCAAAGTTCTCCAGCAGCCGCTCTAGATATAACTGGATCCGTTAATGTTGCAGGAGGCGATATCACTGTGGATACTAGCCATAAAGTTAATGCCTTCATTGGTTATGCAACTCAGAGCACTATAACAACAGTAGGCACTCTTACAGACTGTGGAATTGGTACTACTTATCCAGTTGATAGTTATCTATTGATCACTGGATCTGGTATAGATAATTTAGATGGGAGTTTCACACGTTGTTGTCGGTTTACTGGATCAAATGCAACGCCAGTATCAGGCATTATCGAAATTCATAATGGCGCAGTCGCTACCAGCAGCAATGGAATGTACGTTGGCACCGATACGGCATCCGACCTCAAGTTTGGAGTAGGTAATAGCACGAAGATGACTATTTTCGGAGGCTCAACGACCGCAGGACGCGTATCGATAGGCTCGACTACTAGTTTGTATGGCCTTTATGTTGGATTGACTGTGAGTACTACGATCGATGCCTCTAGTGTTGGTGTAGCTTATTTCAAACAGACAGGAGGCCTGATTTCTACTACAGGCCCTATCTCATCCGTTCCGATCGCAATAGCCTGTGCGGGATCGATGCTTAGTTCCACAGCGTACTACACATACTCGGATGCCCGTCTCAAACATAACTTCGAACCTGTCGATGAAAGCGTTTGTCAGGCTTTACTAACAGTCGAGCCGAAGATGTTTAATTATAAAAGCGATGAAGAGGGAGCTGCGTTAAAACTTGGGTATTGCGCTCAGGATCTATTAAAAGCAGGATTATTTCATTGTATCAACATCGTTGATAATCCTGATCTAGAAGTAGAAGACGATAGTGTAGATCTACATCAAAAGCAATTTTGTGTAGATTATAGCAAGATGAGCTGCCTTCTTCATAAGCTAGTCTTTCGTCAGCAAAGGCAAATAAATGACCTTATTGTCCAAGTAAATGAGCTAAAAAAAATGTAGCTAGGCTTGCTTAGAGAGCAAACGTTTTTGGTTGTTTTTTTCGCTTCGGCTGATACGCCCACGTACGCCCACCAGCTACGGCATCTGTCTGAGTCGATACTGACTTCGTATCGTACGGCTTTGAGTCAGATGCCCATACTGTTGGACGTCCTTGATGAGGAGATTCCTTGATGATGAGATCCTTCATCAAGCTTTTCAGTTCAGCGAGGTTCTGATCAGCTTGAAGCTGGTAAAGACCTGAGGTCTTGGAAATGATACGTGGATCGAGAACTAACATATTTATCCGAACGAAGTGGAGCAATCGAAGATTGCCTGACGACTTACAGTCTGTCGTCGAAAGGTTGCAGATCTTTTTCGAACAAGTGGTGCAATCGAAGATTGCCTGATCACCTTCGGTGTATCGTCGCTAAAGCTCTGCTCTATAATAGTCGAGTGATAATGTTTTTGAACTCAGAATCAGAAATTAGCTTATTCGAGTACATATCCACGCAAACCACCTTCAGCTGTTTCAAGATCGAGGGATTATCGTTGCCTAACATTACCTCTCCCTTGAGCTTATCATACTCCATGCGGAGTGATTCGAGCGGATCCTCTAGCTGCTCCGAGAAGTTATATTGGAGATGAGTGATGGATAGGATTTCCTTAAACAATTTCTTGTCGTCGACAGAGAGCTTATCATACTTCTCCTGACTAAGCTTGTTCTTGAATACGAGATCCTTGATCATGCTTTGTAGAGAGTCGCTGATCTGACGCATAGGACCTACCTTACGTCGATTTGGCTGAACGATCGTGAGAGTTCGTTTGTCAAGATCAGGCAATCGGATGAACTTGGACCCAAGCTTTCTGTATATGTATGCACTGGGAGTTGCCAAACCTTGAATATCATTCAAATTGTAGGTTTGACCTTTATTACGGGAGACGCCCTCCAAAGGTTTCATGCCCGCCCCGAGGAGTCCTCGCCCCTTGAGCTTACCGCCAACGGTGAGCCCGCGTAGCGGCTCCGGGGGCCCTTCGGGCAGCCATGTCGATCGAATCTTAACACCATGTGCCTTCAAAACATACATATACAACCTGATTGCGCTCATTATTGGTTCTTTGGTTGCTTTGTCAACACCGTGATCAGAGTTAAGAAACGCTTCCATCTCATCAAAGTATTTGATCAATAGTTCTAGAGTCGCTGTCCATCGAATACGCTTGAAAAAGCCTGTGTGAGCTTCACCAGATAGTGGTGGATGTTTCTTAACATCCTTATTCCTTACTCGTAGATTACCGTCAATCGTGCTGAAATAGTATTTTTTGTTTGCCTTTCCAATAGTAAGGGGAAGCAAATGAATTGGGAAGATGCTATCTGATTTGCCAGCTTCGATAAAGTAGTCGCTGATAATTGCCTTTGCCTCAGTCTCTGGGATAGATGGATCCTCCATGACATCTGGGCCTGATAGCTTCCCTTTATACCAAATGCCTTGAGTTGGTTTAAATCTGTTAGGATCGCTATCTAAAACAGTGTCTGGTGATGGTTCAAATTCAAAGGTCAATCCCCTCGATTTGACCGTCTCGCTAAACAAAGCTAGAGTTGATTGCCAGGAGATCTCAGACAGTCGAGATTGCTTATTCCTCTTCGTTTCTTGGTTTCTAACGTTGAGATCGCCCTTCGAGTCGGTGATTAGTTCATATTTGTTTAGTACTTCTCCATCTTTTAAAACTGGTCTAATGACAATATTGGAGCCAATCAATTTCTTCTTGTAAGCCTTCAGCATGAATAGGATCTTAGATTTAGCTTGTTTCTCATCGGCTGTAGTCGATGACGAACTATCATGGAACCAAGTTGGACGGATGTGAACCTTCCCCATTCTTTGACTAGGAAATTCATCGCGTCTCTTATTGCCGGTTATATTCTGATATGGAATATTGGCATCCTCCATCCGCATCAAGCTGACTTCGTCAATGCTATTCGACTCACCATCTGATCGGATATTCATCAGATCCTCAGCGGTTAGTACCCAGTCGATATATTTAGATTTAGAAGGCTTGCCCGTTGAAACTCTATAAAGTTCTCCATTTTTACCAATATATCGTTTCATATCGCGAGTTGTATTCGTTTTGATTGGATTGAACCTGAGAGCTATCCAGTTTGGATTAGACTTATAGAGGTTTTGTATCCATCGCTTTGCAATGAATTCTTCAGTTTTACTAGACTTATGTAGCTCTTCCTCCTCAAGGTTTGGTTTTGGTGTTGAGCGGTCGCTCAGACGTGAGGCGGAGCCGTCAGTCTGCGACTGCGACTCCACCTGTGGTGTTTCCACCTGCGGTGTTTCATCGCGAATCTCAGTATTAACTTCAGGGACTTCTTGGGAGTCTGTAGAATTCTCACCAGTACTTGATTTAGCTATTGGAGGCTTTTTTAAATCCCCATCTCCAGCCTGATCAGACGAGTCTTGAGTGGCTCGTTTGGAGACTGAGATGGTATTGATGACATCTGATGCCCATTGAGCATCCGCGTACATTCCTCGCTTCTGCTCCTCTTGCCTGACACGACGCTTGACGCGCTCAAGTAGATCGAGGCGTCTTTGCTCACGTTGGGCTAATGAAGTGAAGTTTGGAAACTTGATGATTAGTATATATCAACATCGATATTTATTTCCGAAATTTTGATTGATATTCAATCTTCCCTGGTTGAGCTGATCGCTCGGCGTGTTGCACCTCCCAGTTCTGCATCGTGTATTTATGGACTATTGTATTCCTTCTCTCGAGCAAGGAGATATACGATTGTTGGCACTCATCGAAGGGGAGATCAAAAATCTCTTCGAGCTCCTCTTTGAAACGAGGATCGTTGCAGATGAATCGATACGGTCTGTGCTGCTCCAATTGCTCCAATCGATATTTGATATAATCACAGCGATTGATATCCATTATCATTCTATAGTAAGTGTTCAGCTTCTCACTGAAAGTACGAACACGTTGATGCATCTTCTTGAGCTCCTTTTTGAACATCTGGATCTTGTAATCTTTTTCATGTTGGAAGCAATATCCGGAGG